TAAAAATCCTGATCCCTCGGGTCCACCTTAGATCTGCTGAATCAGAATCAGAATTTTAATAAGACTACTAGATGATTTGTATGCTCATTAAAGATTTTAAAATACTGGATTAAATGATTAAGAAAAGTGTAAAATTTCTCCCCGGGGTAATAGCTCAGTAGTCCCATCTGCCTCCTATTGTCTCCTTATAAATAACCCCCCTGGCTATGGACCTACATGCCCTCAGTTCTCTTATCATGGAGCTGCATTACAAAATTTTAGACATCAAAGAAGACATTAGAATGTCAACTGTAAATTTGGATGTTGATGGGATTTCAGAGTGGAGTTCTCCAAGTGCAACATACCTGTTTATTCGATTGCAAGTAGAGAAATTGAGAAGGCAGAGGCATTGCAACGCAACTCAAAATGCAAGTCTTGGAAGTTCTGGTGAATGCTGTCAGGAACAGAACAAGTTAGCTAGGAATCAAATGCCTTCCTTGTTCATACATATTCCATCAAATGTCTTCCTGTTCTTACATGTCTCTATTTTTAGTTGGCATAAAATGCTCCACAAATGAATAACAGCTAGAATTAATAAGGAAAATTACCCAGAATTGTGCATGCTGTCAGCTGTGTGATGACTTCTGTATATCAGTGTGATTTCCTGACGCATATATACCTGACTGGCCACATGTGAAGGGACTATCCAAAGCACACGCAACTGCAGGAAAGACTCACAAACTTACACCTTGGACACTCTCCTTTCTCCAACATGTGAGCGGAGACACAGTAAGAAACTATCCAGGACCAGCCAGGGACAGTGGCAAAGGTAGAGAATAAGCACTCCCCACTGGGTCCTCCCTCAATTCTCAGTCCTCTTGCAATACACAGGAGCACAGAACTCTGGGTCTGGCCAAAGGTTTGTAAGCAGGAGAAACGTGTTTCATTTCTGGCTCTCTCTCTCTTTCTCTCTTCTCTCTCTCTCTCTCTCACTCTCTCTCCTTCCTGAGGTCAGAAATCACATGTAGTGCAGCTACAAAGTAGTTGACCCCCTGTCTATAGCTGTGGCCAGGTGGAACAGATCTTCCTACGGACCCACAGTGGACATAAAATGAGGAAGAATTGGTTTTGACCGTGGGAAGCCACTGAGATTGGGTGCTGTTTGCATTGTGTTAAATTGACTGCTACAGTGAGTACAGCTGACTCTGCCTTATTAATACTAGCGAACGCTGTGTTGAGTGATATTCTCTGCCAGACGCAGAGCTCTAAGTCCTTTTTTTATTTCAAGAGCAGATTTATTTATCCATTCACTTTTAATCCTGACCACAAAGCAGCAAAATCTGTAGGCTCATACTTTCAGTTGTAGATGTGATTCATTCAAGCAATAGCAATGAGATCAACCTCAGTGCAGCTTTATTACAATATTCATTTCGATCTGCAAGTTCTCCATGCGTTACCTAGTAGCTCACAATTTCTGAGAAAGACAATAATGTTTCCATAGATAATAGATCATGTGTGATGTAGATCCTATATGTCAATAGTACTTGGATAATATATGTGGATTAGATATGTAAATGAGAGGTGTGTTGGGAAGGAAGAGGCTTTCTTCCGTTCTTTCTGTTAAACTAGAAATTGTCTCAGCTAAGGCCAGTCTGTCCAAATGAGATCTGGATGCCATCACTTCCTCCCTAACACTACTGAGCATTCCTTCACTCTCCGGAATCTGTGATTTCTCCTCTCAGCACTTTCAAGTGTCTCTAAGCTTAAGAAAAATACTTCCATTTGTCTCCACTACTCCAATCACTGCCTCCCTGCCTCTCCTCTCCCATGTCTGTCTTGTCTCTCAAGCCCACTTCTTTCTCTCCATTTCTGCTGTTTCTTTTCCTTTATGCTATAAACATACTTTCTGATGCTAATCATGCCTAGATTGCTGTGCTCCTGGTAGGTTTTTACCTTACTGCACTTCCCAGCATAACCCATCACCATGGGCCTCACCTTCCTGCTGAAAACTCTATCCTAGTGTTTTGCTGGTGGTTGTGGGGTGATATCATACATCTGAAGAGGGGGGAAACTGTAGCCCCCCCAATTATCTACAGTGTTGTAAGCCATGGTCACCCTTTCTTACAAAAAGAATATATATATATATAAAAGATTTATTTATTCATACAGAACTGGGGTACAGGCCAGAGATGCGGACGGTGAGAGGATTCACCAGGGACAGAGAGGGGAGCAGAACAGGCAGATGGACGAAGTACACTGCTGAGGGGAGCAGCGAGCGGGTCAGGAGAGGTCTGCCACGCCATGTGGGTCAGCTCTGGGGTGGGGATCGAACTCATGCGGAAGTGGCTTTAGCTTCTCAGTGCTGTGCTTTAACCCGCTGCGCCACCAGGGAGGGCCCAAAAGAATATATTTTTAAATAAAAATTTATGTTTTTAATAATGTCTATTGACGGTTCGTTATTACCTAGTAATATCAAGGTCCATTTTAATCTTGCTTCTCCTCTCCTCCTCAGGGCTTACATACTATGTATGTGACTAGAATTTTTAAAGGATTCCACAAAAATGCTAGTGCATCTATATGATGTCAGTTAATATCTCTATAAGGTTATATGTAGTTTGATCTCTCAAAATATTTACTTAGCTAGCTTATTTATGTTTGCTCCATAGGAAAATAACTGAAATTGCTCTTTTCATGCTTTCTTGTCTAGGCTGGAATGTTCTCTCTACTCCCTGTACTTTGCTTGCCTACTCTCTCATCCTTCAATTATCAGTTCACGTGACTTCTTTCAGAAAGCCTTCTCAAGTCTGGGCAGAGTGTTAATCCCATATATTCCAACACCTCCTTTTGCTGCTCACCTTGTGATATCCATATTGTAATAGCCTAGTTGCTAATGTCAACTAAATTCAAACTCGCTGAAGACAAGGTTTACAGGTTTATGTTAATATTGTTTATGGTAGTATTGCTCAAGACTGGTAACATTTCTGATATCTGATAGACTCCCAAAGACTGTGCCTTGAATCAATGAATAGTTAGAACATTAGGGGGAAGTTCAACCTGTGGGTAATAAAATGTAATGTAATATTGGTGTCTCTGAAAAAAACAAACAAGAAATCCTGTCATCTGGTCGTTCTCCGTTTCAACTTCATACTCTGTCTTTGGGCTATTAAATACTGGTTTTCATCAAAACCCAAGCTAGCTTCACTTTCTTCCTCATTTTAACCCAGGCATTCCCCAAATATGAATCTCCAGATGGAGTTTCTGCCTGTCCATTGTATCTGCACTTCGAGATCCTCAATGTTGGCCACCACAGGAAACTGCACTCCTCCTTGTTTGCTAACACTAGAAAACAGAGTAAAGCTGCATCAGTGCTCTGGGCGCGCCCAACACCCAAATGTGCCTGTAAAAAAATGTTTTTTGATAAAATACAAACTAAAGCATATAAGGACTAAAATAAGTCTTTGGAAATTCTGACTTTCCCATAGTAACTATTATGATGTTTCTAAAAAGAAAATGAACTATTTTCCAAAATACTTTGGGGTCCCTTCTTACTGTTGCTTTAAAAGCTACTTGTAGAATGGCACTACCTAGCTGTCAAGAGACACAATTTCTTATTCATTCTACCTCCTGAAGTAGTTTCCTATCAGTCTGCTCCTCTCCAGTGTGAGTGCCTGTCTGCATTTCTGCAAGAATCTCTGAACATTCCTCCCTGCTCCAGTGAATTCTCTACACAGCAATCAGGCAGAATGATTTCAGGAACACACATAACGTAGCTTGTCACTCCATTGCTTAAAAACCCTCAGTGGATTCTCATTGTCCTTGGGATAAAGTCTCAGTTCCTTAACAGGCTCAAGAGGCTCACCATTTGTTATGAACTCAGTGTCACCTCTTTGAACTCTTGGAAGGGAAAATCTCGTGAGCCTTTGCAGATTTACTTTCTGCTTAGGGGTCTCCCAATCTCCCAGCATCTCCTGCTTAGATTTAATGTCCTTTCTTCACATAAGGTCAATGCTCCTTATAAACACTTGTAATCTGCTTTATTTATTTATTTATTTTTGGTAAGTGAATGGCTATTTGTATATTGGATAGCTTAATCTCCCTTCCCTAAGAAATTAGTAACATGCTCTAGTTGACACAGGAATTCAGGGATCCTATTTTGTCTGAGTTTAGATTTCAGGGCAACAACTACCACGTGTATATATATATCTACTCATCTTGGAAGAAGGTGACATTTTGCATCTTTGATTTACGGTGGTGAAGTGTTGATACATGGGAAACAAAGGCTTAACTCTAGAAAAATGACATCTGAGGAAATTCTAGCTATGTCATCCTGCTGCTGGTGAATCTCTTTGATCATAATTGTCTCAGTAGGAGAGTATACCCCTCCCCTCTGTGGGAGGACAAATGGGGCCATTCTAAGATGGACCCAGCTCTCCCATTGCATAATGCCCATACAATGAACATAGGGGGTAACATTAACCACCTTACAAGGTGGTAGGATGGGACTCATTCACTTAATATTTAATGAGCATCTAGTGTATAAGCCAGGTGTTGGTGTAGATGCTGGAGACATCATTTAATGTGATTAGGATGTTTAGCAGAGTGCCTATCTTATTGATACATATATTGATGGTTACTATTACTAGGGTTACAGTTTCCTGATGACGTTTGCCTATGTTACATCAGCTCTGACGACAGAGCATACTGTGTCTGTGACGTCCCTTAGTTACAATGTGAAGGAGATCAGGACAGGTCTTGCCTCTCCACCACAGTAAGCCCCCGCCTCAAGGCATCACGAGGCGTGGCCGCCTCTCCCCTCCGGGCCGCCAGAGGGCGCGCGGCCTCTACCTCCCCGCCCGCCCCTGGGTGTGCGCCTGCGCCGAGCAGGCCACCCGCCTCCTCTCCCCTTCCCTTCTCCCCCGCCCCTCCCCTTCCCGGCTCTCGTCACCCGCCCCGAGCGTTTAACGCTCCGCCTCCGTTGCCCCTAGCGGCTGTTTGTTGACTTCCGGGAGCGCGCAGTTGCCTATGCCCGGAGTGCCGCCATGGGGGCCCAAGGGGCTTCTGGGGCCCGCGTCGGGACCGAGGAGCGGCTTTAGGAGTCACCAGATCGCCCTCGCCGGCCTCCCGATCCTGTCAGAGGCTCCCCGTTTCGCCTTCAGCATGGGAGAACCCACCGAGACCGTGCCGGGTGAGTCGCGCCCGCCGTAGTGGCGGCGGGCCGGGGGCAGGGCTCGCTGGCGGGCGGGCGGCCAGGCCCCGCCTCTGGGCCGGCCCAGTTTGGGGACAGGCCCGGCGGCAGGCGTGCTCCTGGGGCCACAACTCTGGCCGCTCTGCGGCCATCGACGGCGGAGGGGGATAGGAAGGAGGAGGACCCGTGGGGGGACCGCGGGAAGGGGGACCGCGGGGAAGGGGGTGCCTGTGTTCTTTGTAAATATGATTTCGATAAGTTTCCCGAAGGCAGGGGCAGTTTCTACCGCCGAATAAACTTTCTGAAGTACCTCTTCGAAGTCCGCGAATCCAATTATGGATTCGCTGCAGCGGTTGCGATAGTTTCGTGGTGCTGTGTTCTAACCCCGAGAGTTGTTTGTCTCTCTTTTTTTTTTTTTTTAAAAATTCCCCCCATCCCCTTGATGGTTATTTGACGTTGTGACCTGATATTGAATTGGGGGGGGGGGGGGGGGGGCGGGGGGTGTGTGGTGGGGAGTGTGGGGCGAAAACGATCTGGGGAAAGGGGGTTGGAGAGGAACCTTTAGAGAGTTGTTTTTTTTTAAAAGATTTATTTATTTGTGCGTACAGAACTGGGGTACTGGCCAGAGGTGTGGGGGTGAGAGGACTCACGAGAGACAGAGTGGGGAGCATAACTGGCAGATTGAAGTACGCTGCTGAGGGGAGCAGCTGGCTGGTCAGGAGAGGTCCGTTGTGTCATGTGGGTCACCCCCCTTGGCTGGGGATCTAACTCGTCCTGCCGCGGTTGAGATAGTTTCGTGGTGCTGTGTTTTAACCCCGAGAGTTGCTTGTCTCTGTTTTTTTTTTTTTTTTTTTTTAAGATTTTCCCCTATCAGCTTGATGGTTTTGATGGTTATTTGACGTTGTGACCTGATATTGAATTGGGCGGGGGGGGGCGGGGGTGTGTGGTGGGGAGTGTGGGCGAAAATGACCTGGGGAAAGGGGGTTGGAGAGGAACCTTTAGAGAGTTGTTTTTTTAAAAGATTTATTTATTTGTGCGTACAGAACTGGGGTACTGGCCAGAGGTGTGGGGGTGAGAGGACTCACGAGAGACAGTGGGGAGCAGAACTGGCAGATTGACTGAAGTATGCAGCTGAGGGGAGCAGCTGGCTGGTCTGGAGAGGTCCGTTGTGTCATGTGGGTCACCCCTCCCCTGGCTGGGGATCTAACTCATGCTGCAGCGGTTGAGATAGTTTCGTGGTGCTGTGTTTTAACCCCGAGAGTTGTTTGTCTCTCTTTTTTTTTTTTTTTAAGAATTCCCCCCATCAGCTTGATGGTTATTTGACGTTGTGACCTGATATATGTAGTGTCACCCCCATACTTACCGTAGAGTATAACCGTTGCTTATACTAACCAGTTAGAGTACGTTCAGATCTTTTCTGTAATACATGTCTTTTAAAATGGTGATTGTGACCAACACAACTGACCCTCTGGCCCACAAGTGGGTCACAACCAACAGGTGGAAAAAATCGCACCTTCACTGAACTATGTATCACCTTTTCTACCATACTCTTGGCTCTAATATGGTTAGATTGCTACCTTATCCGTGCAGAGCCTAGAAAGAGAAAAGAAAGTAAGCAAAATGATATCATTTGACATTGGAGGCCAGAGGGTCAGAATTGAGCCTCCAAACCCTGACTTGGGTGATAATATCAAGGAAGGTGTTCTGGGAGACCAAAACAAGACAAAAATAGTTGAAATTATTCATCCTAGAACAACGCAGAGCCTATTCTGAACCCTGGCCTCCCAAATCTCCATTACCAGTTTGAACTGAGATACCTCGCAATTGTTATCAAAAGGTTTTCTATAATGACTTGTATTTGGTGCACTAATATTTATTAATAGTTAAATTCACTATGCTTTCCTTTCTGGTACCTATTATTAATAGTTTGTGTCTGATAATCCTTGAGATTTCAAATGCTGGATTTGGCCTATTGGGGACACCATTTGGTGGCAACAAGACTACTAATAAACAAGACTACTAATAATCGAGGACGGCTTTCTTTGTGATGATTTATTTCTTACTTATGCCAGTAAATGAGTAATATATAATTCACTTAGTAGATTTCAGAAATAAAACTCCAGTGAAGTTTGAGGAGTGAGACTGATTTCAGGGGCAGGAGGAGGTTAGACCGGAGGCAAAGATGTCACAAAACATGGAATCTATAGAGATAAGTTACTTAAAAAAAAAAATAGTAACAGGCAACACAGTAGGAGTTGTAAAATAGAAACTATCATTTATTTGCAGATTCTGGTGCTGTGTTTACATTCGGAAAAACTAAATTTGCTGAAAATGTTCCTAGCAAATTCTGGTTTAAAAATGACATTCCTGTTCATCTGTCATGTGGGGATGAACATACTGCTATTGTTACAGGTTAGTATTAAAATCCTAAATGAAGATAGTAATACTTAGAGAGTCCTATATTACAGATGTGCTGTTTTAATATGTTCGCAATATGTAGAAAGTTTTTTTTTTGTAGGTTTGCTTTTCGTTTTGCTTGAAAATTATTGACAAGGTGATTTATCAAGGGAGGAAACTTAGAGTTCCCTTAGTATATTTAAGTATGCTTTTTCTTTGCACACAACTTTATTGGAGTAAATGTATTTTAACATCAATATAATAAACAGTTGTTGTTTAATCTTAGAAACTCATTTACGCTTAGGAAAATCCTGCTCCTTAGATGGACAAGGTAACCTGTTTCAAGTGGAAAGGCAAAGACTTTTAAGTGTGACTTTTTCTCTTGCTTTGTGATGATATCACCTGAGGTTACTTTATGTTAAAAATGTTTCAATTTATTATTTCTTTTTCCTTCCCACCAGGAAATCATAAGCTTTACATGTTTGGCAGTAACAATTGGGGCCAGTTAGGATTAGGATCAAAGTCAACTGTTAGCAAGCCAACGTGTGTCAAAGGTTTGGGGTCTTTTCTTCTTTATCACTTCAAATGCTTAACAAACTATAAAGTGTTTTTATATTGATTGTATGGCTGATATTTTAAGTAGAAAAAGCCCTTAATTCTTCATTTTAATATTTGCTTGAATTCTTCATTTCAATATTTGTTTGAATGGTAATAGCATTGAACTTTATTTTGTGTATGTATTCAGGTCTACTTTGGTATGATAGGGGCTAAACACCATGTTGATGTCAAACCCAGAGTTCACAAAGAAAGTTGTGATTCTGCCACTGCAGCTCAACATCCCTTTCCTTGTGCTCGTTTGTGAAGTTACTTAACATCTCCATGCTGCTTATAGGTCATGGCATGTAATTCCTGGAGTATTTCACTTAGCCAAAAAGCATTTATTGAGCATAGTCTGCTCAATAAATACACTTGAGTGTATTTGTGGTGACTGTGATCCTTACTCTCAAATATCTGATAGATGAGCTAACAGGAGTGTCTAGACTTGGTATCCTTGAGACTAAGAACTTTGATTCAATGATCTTTGCACCTGCTCTGCTGCTCTGCTGTGCATTCGGGTGATGGTCCGTAAATGTTTACTGCATGTGTAATGAATGCATGAGGATCTGTAACAGTTCATGCCCATGAATGTAGGATTTACAGTGTCTTGGTGGTGAGCTTAGTGATGGCACTGGCAGGATGATGAGGAGGCAGCACAGCCAAACAGAATGGATCTCAGTGAATATTAATTGCCTGTGGAGTTTTTGAAAATATACAGATACCTGGGTCTTACTCAGAACCACTGACTCACGTTCTCAGGAATGTGGCTGACTGGTGTTTATTTTTCTCAAAACTCCACTGGTTATTATGCTATGTACCTAGTTCTGAAGACCTTCACTTTAGTGTTTAAGAATATCACTTTGGAGTCACATAGGCCTGGCTTAAATCTTAGCACTACCTCTTAATTACCACTTAATGTGGATTATTTATCACTTCTATAACCAAATAATTTGTCATGTTTTTATATTTTAGCGTTAAAGCCTGAAAAAGTGCTGTTTGCTGCCTGTGGAAGGAACCACACGATCATTTTGACAGGTACAGTCTTCAGTCTGTATGACTCCCTGCTGGATTTCAGGACTGAAGTCTCACTGTAGTAGAATTTATAGCTTTGTAAAGTAAATAGAAATAGTGTTGGGACAGCAGATTAATGTTTATAAAACTGTAATAAGTTAGTATGTGTGTTTGTCTTTGAAAATGTGCTGATAAATATTCACTGGCTGCAGACAAAGCTGTTTTTCTCAGATCCTATCAAGGGACAGCATCTCCTTACTTGTGTGCACATCTCAGGGACTAATTTCCTCCTGATTTTGGTCTTCCCTCTTCTCTTCTGAGGGTGAGTGGAAGCCATCCCCCAAAAGCTGTTGATGTAGGCTAGCACAACTTCAGTCAAAATCCAAACACTCTTTGTGTGTGTAGAAATTAGTAGGGTGCTTTTAAGTTTATAGGTCAAAGCAAAAGACCTAGAGTAACCAAACAATGTTGAAAAGAACAAAATTGGAACATTCACACCACCGGATTTCAAGACCTACAGTAAAGACACAGCAAACAAAGCTGTGTGCTGTTAGTGAAAAGGTAGACAAAGGAGAGTGGAACAGAACAGAGTCAGTCTGGTAGTACACTTATACATACACCCAACTAGTGTTTTTTTTTTTTTTTAAAGATTTATTGTATTTATTTATCCATACAAGAACTGGGGTATAGGCCAGAGGTACAGGGGTGTTTAACCAAGGTGCCAAGGCAGTTCAATTCTGGAACATTCGCCCTGGCCAACAAGCAGTCCTTCCTACCTCCTTTCCTATGCACACAGCTTCTTCAGTCTTCAAGCTACTCTCAGTTGACTCCTCCTCACCTCTCTACTCTCATGCACACTGTTCTCCTGATGAACTGTCTTCCTTTTTCTCTTATTCAAATCTTTCCCTTTGAAGATCCAGTTATAAGTATTTACCTTCCATGGAATTTTTTTATGACCAGCATTTTACTAATGTAGTTCTCTGAGTGACTTCAGCATTTCAACAACTCTGGTGTGCTCTGTATGTTTTAAATTGTGCAGTTCACTTTTTTGTGGCCTTGTAGCACTTTGCATTTGTAAAAGCTAGTCTTTTTGCTCTGATTAGTTTTCATTTTTTTTTCTAAAATGACTGAAATTTTTTGATTTTTTGATTTTTGCCTTCAGTTTCCCCAATAATATAGCAAGGTGTTAACTGTATGGTGCATTTTTACCATAAGTAATTGCTAATGTGTGTGTTTTTTTAAGAGCTTGATTAATTCAAAACTTACTGGCAATATTTATTATCTGGGTGTGATGAGCTTCTTATTTAATCAAGAAAGTAATTGACATATATGTATGAAGTATTTACAATAAGATAAATACTGTTCTCAGAAATTTTAAGATGTTGTCTAGTTTTCATAGGAAAACTCATCTGCCAGGAAGTACAGGCAGATGAGACTCTGAGATGTGAGCTCTCAGTGCAGCCTCCTCACACTCACAACTGTTAAGAGGCAAGCCAGAAAGTGCACCCTGAATGGCTAGCTCTGAGTCCTGTCTCCGAAGTACAATGCTGTATAGCCTTCCTAGTTAGCTAGAAAATTAAAATAATTACATGATAGAATTTTCATGCTTCTAATTATATTCTTTTTGGATTAGCCTCATTTACTTGTTACTTATTATATCTTAGGTTTAATAGGTATGGAAGTTAAAATTAATGAACCACATCTCTGTTAAAACAGCTTGATTTAGATAATAAACTAATTTGGAGATTACTTTCATCTTTTTTCTCTGAATTAATAGAGTGCTGTATTAACAAGAAAATACATTTCCCACATTCAATGCATTTCAATTGCTACTTAAGTGCTACAATGATATCTAGAATTAAAATTTCACCAAAATGTTTAACCTTTCTTGTTTTGCTTTTATTTTTAACAGCATAATGCAGTATAGCTGTCAATGTATAGGCTAATGCCAGCTTTCAACTTTCTTCACTGTTCAAAGAAGAAATACCTGGTATACACTGGCCTGTCTCATAAAAATGGTGACAATAGTATACTGATGTCTTTTTTCCACATGCAGAGGGAGGCAGAGTGTACGCAGCCGGCGGAAATGATGAAGGCCAGCTGGGACTTGGAGACACAGAAGAAAGAAACACTTTCCAGCAGATCAGGTTCTTTACATCCCAGTGTAAGATTAAACAGCTTGCTGCCGGATCGAATACTTCAGCTGCATTAACTGGTGAGACTTTCAAACTGAGACACACCAATTTACTTTAAACAGCACACACTAGTTCAGTACATTGAGGACAGCATTGCTGTTTAGCTTTCTTTCATTCACCATGTGCTTTCAGCAGGCATTTAAAATACAACTTTGAGTCATGACATCTATTGCACTGTTTGCTTATTTCAGATTTAGGTGTGGACATGCATTTTGAAGGTAAGTGTTAAGTACTTCCTAAGTTCCGCTGTTCTACTGTTCTTTTAGATGTTCTCAAATACTGCCACCATTATATGTTCTGTAAGTTATACGTGTACCTTTAGTAAAGTTGCTGTTAGAAACTATAGAAATCTAGTTGTTCAGATGTGGTTTGTAGTGATCATTGAATATTTCTGCTCTCCCTATCAAAAGCCCATATGAGAAATTTCTTTAGAATTTGGAGCCAAGGTAAGCCTGGTCTTACTGAAGAGGCTACTGGTGTGCCCCCAGGTAAGAGGTAGGTAGGTAATGTGAAGAGTTGCTAGGGCCATCCGAGGAGCCAGAATGGGCCCATCGCTCCATCCCCTCAGTCCATCAACTGTACAGTTAGAATTTTGACAACCTTCTCTTGGTTCCTATTTTCAACTGTCCTGTAATTTCTTTTTAAAATTATTAAACTACTTCGAAGATCAAAGTTTTTTAAATTAACTACAAGATAGGATAAGTTGGTAATTCTTTTCTAGGTTAACTGTTCAGAGAGTTAACCTGTTTTTGAGCTGCCTTATCTGCTAATACAATTCCTTATTCTTTGAAGCTAGATTATGTGTTTTCCCATGTAAAATGTCAAGGAAAGTTTAGAGAAATATATTTATCTTTTTCTTCCTTTAAAATGTCATTTCCACAGTGTTCTCAAGAGTGGGGCCTTTTGCCCTGGGATTTGCCCAGGGATGTCCAAGTGTAACTTACACTAGCATTCAACTTAGTTGCAGGTAGACTGTTCAGAGGGAGGAAACCATTTTCTGTTTAGCAACATTAGAATACGTTAAGATTATTATGGGAAAGGACAGCTAGTTTTGATGGTGAGATTAAAAATATGAGCACAGTGGGCTGTGATGGAGGACTATGGGTGGTTTGGTGGTAGGTACAGTGTGGTAACAGCACCTGAAGAGGGAGAGACCCTATACCTTTAAAACATGCATGATGTTGTAAACTAATATTACCTCAGTAAAAGACATAAGGACACAACTACAGTGATTTACATCAGGTTATTCTCTGTTCCTTATTACACAAACATTGCATAATAGAAATTGAGCTCTTAACTAGCCAGCTGGTGTAAGTGTCTTCATGTTTTGCTTTTCAAAACACACTTTTTCTAAACTGCAAAATAGTCTGTTGGAAATACAACAACTTGATATCCCTGCTACCTTTTAAAACCATTTCCCCACCTTACATTTTCTTTATAGAGGATGGAGAGCTTTTTATGTGGGGTGACAATTCTGAAGGACAAATAGGCTTAAGTGATTTATCAAATGTGTGTGTCCCTCATCAAGTGAGCGTTGGGAAACCCATCTCTTGGATCTCTTGTGGATATTACCATTCTGCTTTTGTAACAAGTAAGAAGGCATTTTGTATTCATAGCTACTACTGAATTAATAATAATGACTGCTTATATGTATACTACTTGGATCACTGTTCTTTTCCTTGAATAGCGGAAGGGGAACTGTACACGTTTGGAGAACCTGATGGTGGGAAATTAGGTCTTCCCAAAGAGCTGCTCATCAACCACGGAACACCCCAGCAGGTATCTGCAATTTGTGAGAAGGTGATCCAAGTAGCTTGTGGTGGAGCGCACACTGTGGTTCTCTCAGGTATGTGCAGAACCTACTGCTCTGTGGGGATTGAGGAAAATTTCTCTTACACATATTTTTTTATTGTGAGAAGAACACAGCATTTGATTCACCATCTTAACAGATTTTGATGTGTATAGTACAGTGTGGTTACTAGGCACAGTGTGTACATCAGAGCTCTAGAACTTACTGGCATAGCTGAAGCCAGACCTGTTGATTAGCAGCTCCTCTTTGCCTCTAGTCCCAGCCCTTGGCACATACCAGTGTATTCTCTTGCTTCTGTGAGCTTTCTCATTTAGATGCATCACCTATGATGATCATGCATTTAGTTCCCCACCTTTTATTCCCTTAGTTAAGATACATTTGTGGCATGTAGAAGAAATTTTTAAGTAAAAAAATCTTTTCATATTGTTTTGGTAACATAACTGACATATTCATGATCTTAACAGCTTTAATGACAGCAGATAACATTGTTTTTTTTAACTCATTCTCAAAGAAAAACTTCTTCATGTATGTGTATTCCATATTTATATTAAGTTAACCCTTTTTTCCTGTAATAACTTCTTTTGGGGCAATTCCCCATTATTGCTATTTCCACCATGCCATTGATAACCCATTTATTTGTGTTACTGACAATATCTAAATTGGTGATTTGTTTGTGATTTTTCTGTTCTGCAATAGTAATTCATTAAAAATTATTAAGCTTTTAAATTATAGATACTAAAATAAAGTTAGAGCTGTAATAGTAATGTCACTTTGGTTTTCTGAATTTTGTATTTGGTATTACATGTCATGTCTTAAGACGGTAGTTAATATGTTAAAATATACTTACTACTTGATACTGTGCTTACTGAACTGATGTTCCTGAATTTATTAGCTTTAGGTTTAGTTTTAGTTTTAGATGAGTAGCATTAAATTAATATAGTGAGATGTAGTAAATTATTACGGACTTTTTTTAATCAAAAAGAACTTAGCAGTTTCTGAAATCATCACTTAATCTTTAGTAACCCAGAGTTAGACATGATCTAGACAAATTTGGAATAATCCTTAATTCTCAGATGATAAGTTTAATGTTACAAGGTGATGGAGCAGTATCTGGTCTTTGGGTTTTCTTGTTTATGTTGATTTTCCGTTTCATCTTGTTCTAGTCCCATTCATGGTTATTAAAGGGTGGTTTCCCAAAATACAATTTCCTGTTGGAATTTTTTTCAAGTTAGAAGTAATTTTTTAAGCCCTCTAAATTTGGAAATAATTCTGAGGTTTAAGATCTTTTTTTGAGTTTCTGCTGACAAAAATTAATTTTTATATATTTTTTAAAAGATTTATTCTAGGATTTAAACTTGGAAAATAAAATGTATAAATTGTCAGAAAATTCATTCTGTAGAAAAGAATGCAACTTATTCTTTATGTGCTATATATTTTCTCTAGTTTATACAAAAATTAGAGAAATCAATTATTCAATGACTAAAGATTGTTCTGAAGGACCATCGTGCTGATTATTAAGATGTCATTCGACCATACCTCATAAAATACTATATAAAATGAACCCCAAGATAATCCATGATAATTTTTTAAAGATTTATTTATTTATGTATACATAAGTGGGGTACAGGCCAGAGGTGCAGGGGATGAGAGGATTCACCAGGGACAGAGTCGGGAGCAGAACAGGCAGTGGACAAGTACACTGCTGAGGGGAGCAGTGGGCGGGTCAGGAGAGGTCTGCCGCGCCATGTAGAGCACCTCTGGGGTGGGGATCGAACTCATTCTAAGTGGCTTTAGATTCTTAGTGCTGTGCTTTAACCTGCACCACCAAGGAGGGCCCCCATGATAATTTTAATTATTCTTAAAATTAAGATATATGTAAATGTGAATGTTTTTGGCAGTATTGTAGGCATTTCACTTTCTGTGGACCTGGTCTTGAGACTACAAACCATGTTGCCAGAAATTGTTTTCCAAGGGCTGGAAAAATCTCAGGCCACTAAAGGAATGAGTATGGGAACCAACAGATGGTTGCCATCTTCCAATTTGCATTTGGCTCAATTGCCAAAAAAGAAAAAATTACCTCTTTCACAATATCATGAAGTGTAGAGGGCATTTCGAAACAAAAATGTTAAAATTCTTAATTTTACAATAAAAGACACCTCAGTAAATTATATAAATGTACCTATATAGAAATTTATTACTTTATACCTATGTTTTACATTTCTCCATGGGCTTGTGAGTGCTTTATTATGAGCCAGCCCAGGCTCTCCCTGATGGCACAACTGGTTAGAACTCAGCGCAATGGGGCTGTCTGAAGCCACTGTAGTAACAATGTGATCCCTGGCCAGGGAGCTGACCCACATGGCATGGCAGACCACTCCTGACCCTCCTACTGCTCCCATCAGCAGTGTATTTCTGCTCCCCACTCTGTCTCTGTGTCTCCTCTCACCCCCACCTCTGGCCTGTACTCAGGTTCTTATGTGCATAAAGAAACAGTTCTTTTAAAAAAAAAATGAGCCAGCCCAGGTGAGAAACCTCTGTTCTGGAGAGGACAATGTGGACAGAAGTACTAATCATCAGTTTGACTAAGTACTAAATTGATTACCTAAAAGTTATAGAGTTCTTTGTGAACCTTAAAGGAAAGAGTATCTATATCTGTTCTAAATCTTTCCTTTCACTAAAAGAAAGGACTTAAGTTAGATGAGATGTTAGAGGTCCTCCCCAGCTTTGTTGTTCCTTTTCTGTAACTGTGATCTTAAAGTGTATTGGCCTATCACTCATGAAAACACTTAAAAGATCATTTAAATTAATATACTGCTGATGAATTCATTTAAATTTAATATTTACAGGAGACCATGATAGATTAGAAAATACAACTAGTTGTAGGCGATGGTTTCATTAGTTTCTCCTTAGAACCAAGGGCTGCTATTGTGAAAGTTCAGGCAGGAACTTATAACACTGTGTCCTGATAGATGTGGTCTTGTGAGTTTCCACATCAGATGCCTAAAAACAAGAAAGGCCCATTTTTGAGATGGGGTCCACAATGAAGCCTGGATCCCAAGGAAAATGAGGACTTGCCTTAATTTCTACAGCTTTATATTTGTACAAACTTAAAATTTCTACAGGGCATCCAGTCACTAGTCATGAAATCAAATGTAGTCTGTGAAATTATAGTAATGTGCACCTGAAGCTAACTAATAAAATTCATTTTCCTAAGAGAGTATTATTTATTAATGATGGGTTACATTAAATGTTATACATTTACAACTTTAGAGGAGAGTTTAATGTTAAATGTTAATGTTAAATGTTATAAAGGTATTACCCAAAGTTATGTTAGTTGCTATATATAATTCCTTAGATAAAAGGTTCTTAAGTTTTTTAAAAGATAGTGACTGCTGTCATCACTGATCATCCTAGCACCTAAAAGTGAACCAAACAGGGTAAGGAACAAAACCTGGTGACAGGATTCACCAGGTAAATGGTCTTCACAGGCCAATATCAGACAGTCCAAGAAACTTACCGTAGTTATTGGCTAGCTAGAGGTAGACACTTGTTTTTAATTTACTCAATATTCTGTTATTAAGCCTAATGTTGAAAATGGAGATGTGTAATGACTAAACTAAAAGATGGTTCTTTTTACACTAAAGGAAACTTTGCCATTGATTCAATACAACTTTGTATTCTTAGCAAAGACTATTTTCATTAAGGAGTAATATCTGTTTCATTTATAACATAAAAATTCTTAGCAGAAAGACAAACTTGTCAAACATTTGGCAAATTATTCTTGACCACTGAATGTTTGAAAACCTGCCTGAATGTGTTCACATTTAATCCTCACAGCAACCCTATTAGATAAGGGGTATAACATCAGAGAGTTATACTTTCCCTGCTAATACTAATGGACATTTGGATATCTACCTGAATCCAAAGCTCTTGCTCTTCTTTCTCTAGTAGGAGAGTCAATGTATTGAACTAAGGAGTGGTAGACTTAGTGTAAAAAAACCTGTTGCTTCCTAATAGCCAGAGTTGTAGGTCGAAAGGACCCTTTAGGGCCCTCCTTGGTGGTGCATTGGGTTAAAGCACAGCACTAAGAAGCTAAAGCCACTTCAGGATGAGTTCGATCCCCACCCCGGAGGTGACCACATGGCGCGGCAGACCTCTCCTGACCCGCCCGCTGCTCCCTCAGCAGTGTACTTTGTTGATCTGCCTGTTCTGCTCCCCATTCTGTCTCTGGTGAAGCCTCTCACTGCCCTTGTACCTCTGGCCTATATCCCAGTTCTGTATGCATAAATAAATTATTTTTTTAGAAAAAACCCTTTAATCACCACTCATTTATTTTGATGTTGTGTTGCTCTTTATTTTTCCTGATTTTCCATTTCTAAAAAAATATATATATGAGCTAATATGTACTAAGTTGCTGAAGATCCTTTGGAATCACTTAAAAATGCTAGTAATCGAGGAAAGCTTCCCCCCTCCTTTTATTATTGCATTTACTTGTGAAGGAGCTTTACCTGGAAATGAAAGTAGCATGTTTTCTGTAAGTTTTGATTCCCATGGGGATTCTCCTCTGATGTTTTATCAGGTAGATTAATCTATCAGTTTATTTTTGGAAGTCAGGAGTTTTTCCATAGAAAACATTTTTCTTTTCATTTAAGAAAGTGAAAGGAATGAACTTACTGACAATTGATGCTTTTTAAAGATCCGAGTGGTGGTTAAAGGAATGTTTTAGGTAGTTCGCACTTAAATGTCTGCAGCAATTCCTCTTAGGGTTATACATAAAAGACAGAATTAGTCCTGGGACATAACGTTTACGATTGTGTGCCTTGTCATTTTTCTTTTCCTTCATCGTTGAGAAATGCATACTTAATTAGCAGGTATTCTTATATGCGTGTTTCTTTCAGAGGTATGTAGCCTTCGATATAAAAGGCTGAATATTACAGCTTTTCTGGATAGAACCAAAGCAGTGCCATCTTTCCTGAAATCAATGTCTTCATCTTTCCCTTTCAGAGAAAGCTGTGTACTCCTTTGGACTGGGACAGTTTGGCCAGCTGGGTCTGGGCACTTTTATTTTTGAAACCCCAGAACCCAAAGTCGTTGATCATGTTAAGGATCAGAAAATAAGGTATATTTCCTGTGGAGAAAATCACACAGCTTTGATAACAGGTAAAGATAAGAATTTCTGTTGTTTAATTACAGAAGTAGGTCTATTTTATTACAAAATAAATATATAAAATGAATGTATCTAGCATGAGCAAGGAATTAATAACTGAGTAAAATATGCTAAAGTGTGAAGCTGTAAAGTCCTTTTGAATATTTTAATTTAAAGTCAGTATAAAAGTGTCAAAGATTTAGAACCTCCAAATATATGTCAGTGCTATCAGAGATAAGACCACAATATTCTACTTCGGCAGGAAGCTAGAATCTTTTTGAAGTTGTATCACTTTCAATGCTCTGAACTCTGTGTAGGCCAGAGGGGAAAATCTTGCGAGGAAGAACTTAAAACATTTTCCTGTTCCATCTGACAGAACTGCTTTCAGGCTGAATACATTCTTAAGGTGTATTTGACCAGCAGGGCCACTGCCCACCTCTCTCCACAGAGATAAAGACAGGGCACCTCAAAGATCACAAGTGAATATTTAGTCTCTCCATATTTTCCCCTTTGTAGTTTCTCCTTCAAGGAGATGCTGCTTTGACCTGCTTCTCAACCTCAGAAACTAGGTGCTGCTAATGTAAGGCTCAGTACCTTTCTCCCCTAAAATGACTCACTCACTGTAAGTAATTGAGACACTTCACAATTTTAATTGGTTTGGAACAAAAGACTAATTTTACTTAACTCTAGCTTACCTTTCTATCTAAAAATGAAGTAAAGCATTGAGGAGTTAGATATCATTAGCATTTGAAATAATCTAGACACTAGTGTGTCTCTATTCTTTTCCTTCTTTCCAAAAACGCCTCTGCTATGATGGAACTCATCTAATGGTCTCTGGTTAGGGGAAATGAGAACCAGCAAATGCAAGGTACTTCCTTCCCCAAAGAACCTTTCAAGAGAAACACTTGCCCATTTTCAAGGATTGGTGTCTTTGTTACTGTAGCATAAAATAGAACTATCTAGAATGTAGTTATTCATAGACAGGGTAGAGCTGTTTCTGTGTATCCATTGCTGCTGCAGCGTTTTAATCTCAGTTTCTCTGTCCTTCCTGCCATTTTCCATGAAATCTAAATTGCAACTGATAGCATATACTCACTTTTTGTGGTTCATCTAATATACAATTAGATTATTTGGTTAAACTTTCATAATACCTTTCCTCCTGTTTAAAAAGTTATAGCACAAATAATTGAACTTTAACTTTGATTGCCTTTCTGCTCATGAGGCCTACCAAGGGGATCAGTGTTAGGGATTTTTTTCTCTAGGATGAATGAGAGGTGTGTAGTGAGTAAGTTCTTGTCAGTTTCTCTGCATAGTCAGTGGTTCATGTTTGATAAAGCTCTCTGAGGTTGAAAGTACAATTGAGTAGAATAAGTTTATTTTTTCTGGCTAACCCTGGTAAAGTTACAAGTCAAACCTTGAAAACCTGTATAAAGAAATCAACGTAAAAAAAAGATGAAGATGCTGGAATAAAGGTAATAAGGAAAATATCTTAAAAAGGAAATAAATATTGTAAGAGTCCAAATTTAGAATCTGAACATTGTTCATTGCTTATTTCTAGGGATTCTGTTTTTATATGTTAACTTTTGAACTTACCACCTTACTAAATTATGTCCTAAAGAAGGGACTTGAGAAGAGATACGCAGGTTCAGAACAATTGCGATGGTAGTTGGCAAAGGGTAGCTAGAGAGTGGTGACAGGATTATTTATTATTGTGGACCAAGCTGTAGCGGAGACCCCAGTATTGACAAAGTGCTCATCAGCCTGGTTGGTTGATATCATTTTCTTCAGGAACATTCTACAGCCTGGGTTTGAAATTGGTAAAAGAGGCTTATGGAGCCAAGCCAGTGGTTCTCCACTTATGGACATAGTCTCCATTTGTGGAGATACTTTTGATTGCCACAGCTGCAGAGGTGGGGTGTTCTATGGCCATAGAGTAGGAAGAGGTCAAGGATCTTGTATTGCACAGAGCAGACCCAAATAGCAAAGAATGATCTGACCCCAAATGTTAATAATGTCAAGGTTGAGAAAGCCTATCTAACCAATGATGTGGAGAAAAAAGAAAAGATTTTTTGGGGAAATGGGGGCTCAGAATACACAATATCCTCTCCCCGGAGAAGGTGGTGTGTAGCAGATGTCATGCTGGATTGCCCTGCCCAGTGCCTTGCACATCTGGGCCTCAACTTCACAGACTGCCAAGGGGTTAGTCTTTCATTCTGATATTACCTAATACTATGCACAGGACCACATTGAGTCGTGGTAAATTTGTTGTACAACTTGAGGAGAAAATTACCATTGCAAAGTAAGTTAGTATAATTATTTGTTTACAGATTTTGGTCCACACAAGTAATACTTTTACCCCTTTTTTATATTTTAGACATGGGTCGTCTCTATACTTTTGGAGATGGTCGACATGGAAAATTAGGGCTTGGACTGGAGAATTTTACCAATCAATTTGTTCCTACTTCATCCCCTAATTTTTTGAGATTTGTAATTCACTTGGTAAGGGCATCACATTTTCTTGTTTACATTTTTATATCTACTTTAAGAATTTCATTGAAAATAAGTACTTTTCTAATTGTATGAAATAATATCATGGGTGTGTGTGTTATACATACTCATTTTCTAAAAGTCAAATGTCAGACATCATGCCACTCTGCATTTCTCCCTTTCCTGGTTTTCCTTGGTTCACGCCTTCTTTTCGACCTAATTTTGGCTCCTCTGCTTCATTCTCATGTGTCTCTTTAGAACCAGGACAGTGCCATGGCTAGAAGCTTTGTGTCTCCTGTGGAATCCAGCCGAGTGGCTTGCTCACAGTAGTCCTCTCTTAGTAGTTGTTAAGTTAGCAATAACTAAGACTCACACATTCTGCATGAGGGAATTTGATAGTAAACAAAGAGTTTTGCAGCTGTTTCATAGGCTAATTTATTGAGGCAAGAAGGTATTGTTTCAGTGTTATTCCCATTGGACATCATATCTCCATTGTTTTTAAAAACATTTTCAGTTAAGAACTGTGGGCTCGAAGATTTTGTTTACTTGGTGATGATAATATCACTTGAAATTCGTTCTCCAAAGACTCAGTGCTATGGACTCTTCCATTCCCTCATTTGACACCCATTAATGAATGCCTGCTCTGTTCAAGGTGCTGGACTAAGCATCAGGAATATGAAGCATGCAGTGATGAATAAAATAACCAAATCCTCATTCACTGAACTTTATATTCTTCTGGGGAAGATTGTTTTGTAAAATGACACAGACTAAATAAATTTTAGCTGAAAATATTGTGAAAGAAGGTTCAGTGCATGTTACTCCTATGCCACCATGTAGCTCATTATGAAGTTGCTAAAAATAAGTGTATTGCCAACACTGTACAGTAGACGTTTTAAGTATTTTGTTTAAAATGAGTTATTTCTCAGCATTATTTGAATCTGGATTTTATCATTCATTATTTTATCATTGTACATGTTCGCCTTTTATTCCAAGGATTCTTAAGCATTAAACTTCAAAAGTGTTGAAGTAGAGAAAGGCTTGGAGACCTAATTATTTGAGGAGACTGATTTATTCCCTGGTCACTTTTTTCCAAACAGAACTTCTCTGAGTAATTTTTTAAGTTGCTAATGTTGCTTCCAGATTGAAGTAACATTTTGTAACTTATAAGGAGAAACTTAATGTGCCAAAAAGTTTTTTCTCTATATTCTAGTAAGATGGTGTGCAATTCATGTTTGTGTGTATCTATGCATTTCTTTGTGAGTCAATCCAGGAAGTCAACTAGTAAGTGAATAGTTTGTAGCTGCAAAACTCATTTGTATTTGAAACCCTTGTCAATTAACTTATCTGTGGGTTTGTGCCTCAGGTTGCTTGTGGTGGATGCCACATGCTTGTTTTCGCCACTCCGAGAAGTGGTGTGGTCGAAGAAGTTGACTTAGATGAAGGAAGCGACTCGGGCTTACCTGCATCGCCTTTTCTACCCTTCAGCGATCACACCTCAGGATACGCACTACATAGAACTTTATCAGCACGTGTACGGCGACGAGAAAGGGTACTTGGGGCCTGTTGTCTGTAATAGTCATGCCTGGCACAGCAGAGAAAACGAATTAAATATCCATTTACTTTTTTAAATAAAGAAGGGTCTTCTCTGAGAAAACTTAAAAATTACCTGAATTAAGGGCTTACAAACTTTTGAGTTGAGAGCTAAGGAAGCCATTAAATATACCCATTAGGAAATTCAAATTATCCTGGAGAACCTTGGTTTATAGACAGAGGTAGTTACCACTTTCCCACCTCACTGCATGCTGAGCTAGGTGCTCTGCTGTCTGTATACTGACTTCTATTTTGCTGTTAACTTTTAGTTAATGCCTCAGAGCATACACTATAAACAGTGACACATAGAAATCAAAAAATAAGGACTTAAAATTGAAAGAATGTTCATTCTCCAATTAAATTTAGAGATTTATACTGTGCTTTAAATTTGTTATTTCAACAATACTTATGTTTTAAAAAAAAATACCTCCCCCAAAGAAAAAGTGAAATAATTTCTTTTTAATTTTCTATATCTATTTTTACATCTTTTTTCATTTTGTATTTTTGTCATGTCAGTTGTAATCCCCATGGACTTCCCATCACCATTTCACCCTGTGCCCTCACCATAGTCCCATGTGCTCTTCCCACCCCAGGTTTGATCCTGTTCCCCTCTCCTTCCTGTAGAATGTCTCTGGTTTATAGTTAGTTGATGTTTGTTTTTATTTTATTACAATTGTGATATATGTTTTTTTTCTTGATTTCTTACATTCCTACTATGACTAAAACCATCCGGTCTTTCTCTTTTTCTTTCTGGCTTATTTCACTAAGCATGATGCTTTCTAGCTCCATCCATGTTGCTGCAAATAGCAGGAATTTGTCTTTTTGATTGCTGAGTAATATTCTATTGTATATATACCACATCTTCTTGATCCAGTCATCTTTTTTTTTTTTGGCATTTGGGTTGATTTCCCACCTTCCCTATTGTAAATAGAGCAGCAATGAACATAAGGGTGCAGGTGTCCTTTTGAATTAATGTTTTTGTGTCCTTTGGGTCGATACCTAGGAGTGGAATTGCTGGATCATATGGAAGCCATTTTTAGCAGTTTGAGAAACCTCCACACAGCTTTCCCTAGTGGTTGTGCCAGTTTTCATTCCCACCAGCAGTGTAAAAGAGTTCCTTTTTCTCCACAACTTTGCCAACATTTATTGCATTTATTGTTGCTAGTTTTTTTTTTTTTTTAATAAATGCCATTGTCCCTGGTGTGAGATGTTTTCTTATTGTGGTTTTGATTTTCCCTTATTACAAGTGATGCTGAACATTTTCTCATATGCCTGTTGACCGTCTGTATTTTCTCCCATTTTTTGGAATGGGTTATTCACTTTATATTTGTTAAGTTTCGTCAGCTATTTGTATATCTTTATGATCATTCCATTATCATTAGTATTGGGTGCAAAAGTTTTCTCCTAGTCAGTAGGGTGTCTTTTTGTTTTTATAGTGTCTCTTTTGCTGTACAGCTCTTTAATTTGATGTAGTCCCAGCTGTTTATCCTTTCCTTCACTGTCCTTGGGTGGTGTATCTTTAAAGATGTTACTGTGGTGTATGTTACATAGTGTTTCATCAATATTTTCTTCAATATTTTATGGTTTCTGGTCTTATGTCTAGTTCTTTAATCCATTTTGAGTTGGGCTTTGTGTATGGTGTGAGGTAGTAATCTAACTTCATTTTTTTTTTTCACGTAGCAGCCCAGTTTTCCCAGCACCATTTGTTGAACAAACTTTCTTTGCTTCTTTGTAAAAGATTAGCTGTCCATAAAACTGTGGATTTATATCTGGGCTTTCTATTCAATTAATTGGTCTGTAAGTCTTTTCTTGGTGCAATACAATGAAGTTTTGATTATTATGGCTTTATAAAATAGTTTAACATCTGGGAGTGTGATACCTCCATTCCTGTCTTTCTTAATCAGGAGAGCCTTCAAGTTTTTGGTTTTTTTTTTTTGTGACTCCATATTAATTTCATCAGTATTTGTTCTATTTCTTTGAAAATGTCATTGAAATTTTTATTGGACTATCATTGAGTCTATAAATTGCTTTTGGTAGGATAGCCATTTTAATTATGTTAATTCTTCCAATCCATGAGCAAGGGATGTCTTTCCATTCCTCTGTGTCTTCCTCTATTTCTTTTAACAATGTTTTATAATTTCCTTTGTAGAGGCCCTTCACCTCTTGTTAGGTTTATTCCCAAGTATTTGATCTTTTTTTGTTTCAATTATAAAGGGAATGGTTTTCTTGATTTCTTCTTCAGATAGTTTGTATATAGGAAGGCTACTGATTTTTGTGTGTTGACTTTGGAACCTGCTAATTTACTAAATTGGTTGATTATTTTGGTAAGTTTTTTTTTTTTCCTGTAGATTTTTTGGGATTCTCTATGTATATTAAGTCATCTGCAAATAGCAATAGTTTTACTTCTTCTTTCCCTATTTGGATTCCTTGTATGCCATTTTCTTGTCTTACTGTTCTGGCTGGCTAGGACTTACAGTATTATATTGAAAAGCAGTGGTGAGAGGGGACATCCTTGTCTTGTTCCTGACAGGATTTTAGCTTTTCACCATTGAGAATGACACTGGCTATGGGTTTGTCATATATGGCCTTTATTATGTTAAGGTATGTTCCTTCTATCCCAAGAATTTCAAGAACCTTCCTCATGAATGGATGCTGGACTTTTTAAAATGCTTTCTCAGCATCTATTGATATAATCATACGGTTTTCATTTTTCTATTTGTTGATGTGTTGGATTACATTAATTGATTTTCGAATGTTGAACCATCCTTGTGCCCCTGGAATAAATCCCACTCGGTCATGGTGGATTATGTTTTTGATGCATTGTTGGATTCTATCAGCTAGTATTTTATTTAGGATTTTTGTATCATTGTTCTTTAGAGAGATTGGCCTGTACTTTTCTTTTTTGTATGTTGTCCTTGTTTGGTTTTGGTATTAGTGTAATGTTGGCTTCATAAAATGTAGATTGAAGTATTCCTTCCTTCTCAGATTTTTGAAAGAGTTTGTGTAGGACAGGCACTAGTTCATTTCTGAACATTTGGTAGAATTCATTTATAAAGGTGTCTGGTCCTGGGCTTTTGTTCTGGGAGAGAGATTTGATGATTTTATCAATTCCGCTGCTTATAATTGGCCTGTTTAGGCGCTCTATTTTTTCTCTGTCGAGCTTTGGATGATTGTAAAGTTGTGGGAATTTGTCCTTCTCTTCTAGATTGTTGAACTTGTTTGCATGTAACTGTTCATAGTAATCTCTTCCTATTCTTTTGATTTCTGCTGTATCTATTGTGATTTCTCCTCTTTTGTTTATGATCCAATTTATTTGTGCTTTTTCCTGTTTTTTCTTTGTGAGCCTGGCTAATGGTTTGTCTATTTTGTTTATTTTTTCAAAGAACCAGCTTTTCATTTCATTGATGTTCTGAATTGTGTGTGTGTGTGTGTGTGTGTGTTTTCTTTTATTTCTGCTTTGATTTTTACTATTTCCTTTCTTCTTTTGGCTTTTGGGTTTTTTGTTCTTTTTCTAGTTCTTTAAGGTGGGACATTGGGTTTTTTTTTTTTTTCAGTTCTTCCTTGTTTCTTGATGTGTGCCTGTATTGCTATATATTTTCCGCTTATAACTGTTTTTGCTGTGTCCCATATGTTCTAGAGGGTTATATCCTCGTTTTCATTTATCTTGAGGTATTTTTTAATTTCTTCCTTAATCTGTTCATTAATCCAGTGATCTTCCAGTAGTGTGGGTTTAATCTCCATGAGATAGGAGTGTTTCTTTCTTTTTGTGGTTTACTCCTAGCATGATGCTTTCATGGTCAGAGAAGATAGTTGGTATGATTTTGATCTTGGAGTATTGAATAATGTTTGTCTTGTATCCCACTATGTGATCAATTTTGGAGAATTACCGATGGGCACTTGAGAAAAATGTGTACTCAGATTTATTTGGGTGTAGTGTCCTGTAAATGTCCGCAGGCCCTTCAGGTCTAGATCCTTGTTTTAGAGTGCTAATGTCCTTGCCTATTTTTTGTCTTGTTGATCTATCCAGTGGTGAGAGTGGGGTGTTGAAATCTCCTACTATATATTTTCTCTGGTGTCTGTTTTCAGAGATGATAATAATTGTCTGACATATTTTAGTGCTCCTTCATTTGGTTGAATGTATGTTGATGATTGTTATGGCTTCCTGATGTGTTATCCCTTTAATCACAATGTAGTGCCCATCTGTATCTCTTTTTACCTTTCTTCAGTTTGAAGTCTGTTTTATATGATATGAGTATAGCTGTTCCTGCCTTCTTTATTGGTCCATTTGCTTGTAGGATTATTTTCATCCTTTTACTTTCAATCTATGTCTATCTTTTGTAGTTAAGTGTGTGAAACAGTTTTTAAAGGAGACATTCGTTTCAAAAAAAGTACTTTAACTCCGAAATGTATTCTTTTTCGAGGTAAAAAGGTTAAGTTAGACTTTAGATTAAGAAAAAGTATATATGGGAAGATTGAGAACTATTCCATTAGTATTTTGTAATCATTTCTGTCTCATGGGTGATTTTTTCATTTCTCAGGAAAAGCTCAGAAAACACAAACCCACTTTTCCCCAATCAGGTGAAAAACAGACTTCCAAATTGACAATTTTGAGCAATTTAGATACAGAGACAACAAAGCGGTTTTGAAAGCCCTTAGGAGTTACTAATAGTGAATATTGTGGGACACTGGCCAATTTCAAAATCTCTCAATTACTTTTAGCAGCCTCAGGGTAGGTTATGCTAGTATTAAATCCATAGCATCATCCAACAGTTTAATCCCTTTTATTTTAAAGGAGAAATCCCCGGATTCCCTGCGAATGACTCGGACACTACCTCCAATTGAAGTGACTGCTGCACCACCTGTTTGCTTTTCCCCCAGTGTAGTTCCTTTCCGTCTGCCTGCAAGTCCTCTGCCAGAAAAGAAGGTGCCCGAAAAGGGGGACCTCTTGCAGCCAGTAGAACCAGGTAACATTTGATAATCTTTTAACCTGCTCTCAGGAGAAGTGTGCCTTTTATTCTTAGTGTTTTCATGTTTACTTTAAGATCTTTTCACCAGTTAAATTGTTTTCTTCCTAACTAGTCACATGTTTCATTTTAACTCAGATCCTGGAAAACTCTTAATAGAAAGTGTGGCCAGATGCCCTAAAAATCCCACATTAACAACAGTATTATGTTTTTATAGAGCATTGTGTACTTTATTTTTTAAATTTCATTTCCTGTAAAGTTTTGCTTTATTTCCTTTAAACCATGAAGCAACCCTATGAAACAGACATGAGTTATATTCTCCATTTTTATAAATGAGAACAGCAATGCTTAAAGGAACCAAGTAACTTACCCAAAGTCACTTAGTTTGTAAGTGAAGTAAACAGGGTTTCAGTGCAAGTCTTCTGGACCTATGTTAAGTTCTGCATTTAGTAGTAGAGCACAGTTAGTAAGAACATGGAATATGAAGTTAAGAAGATGACCCTCTCACACTCTAACTCCAAGCGTCATATTTTTCTTACAATCTGCCTTCAAACTTTTGGCTATATCATCTTTGCCTGGAGTGAATATACCCTTTCTTTGTGTGGCTATATTTCTTACCCTTATATTTAAGCTAAGTGTCACTTTCCTAGCAAGGTCTTCCCAGACCACCTATCATCATAATAAAGATTCTGAATGACTAAGAAAAAGTAACTTTTTATATGTTGTGTGCATCCTTCAAAACATTCATTAAAAGGGTTTCAGTGAACAGTCACAAAAAAACAAGGGATGACTTTTGCTTTTGACCTAGTCTTAAAGTTATGCGTATCTTCTCATTCAAATCTCTTGAAATGAGAAACAACTTTTCTCAAGCCCTACACTTCTCTTTTCCTTGTACATACTGCTCATCAGAATCTCTTTGCCAGAGTTGTAGGGCTGAAGAGCGCCAGTGATTCTTATTGTGAAAGGAAACATAGAGAAGCTGTGGGTCAGATGCAGTAAAGTGGCTTATCGTCAAGGTCCAAGTTGCAGTTACCTTAGGGTCCATACCCGAGGCCCATGATTCTTACCCGAGTTCCTGAGCCTTTACTACCTCAACTTTTGGCCTAGATTCCAGATCCTGAAGATATAAAAAATTCTCTGTCCCATGGTTATTGATCTTTGGAACCCGGATTAGAAGAAAATATAGATAAATATGTGCATTTATTGACAAAAAGATAAAATAGATCAGATGAAGGCAAATTCATAAGCAAAAAAATATTTTTTACCTGTTTTCCAAATCCCCACTGCTGGCCTTCTCAAATCTGTCCTGTTCAGCACATTCCCCCCAATCATCCTTGAATGCAGTTCGGCTCCCATCTGCTCCAGTGTCTTCAGAGGATCCCTAAGTTTGTGAAAATTTCTCCTATAATTACCACCTTTCATAGCTTCTTCTTGATAGCTTTTTTCTTACCATCTTAATTTAGATTACAAATGTGCAATCTGTGACCCAGCTACCTGTTTTTGTACATAGTTTTATTGAACCCAGTTAGGCCTTTTCTTTATGCATTGTCTATGGTTGCTTTTACACAGTGGTGGCAAAGTTTAAGTTGTGGTCCACAAAGCCTAAAATCTTTACTGTACGGCCTTTTTATAGAATATTTGCCACCTCCCGATTTTGCTCAAACAGAGCTGTTCACAATCATATTTAGTGGAGTCAAGACACTGTCCTGAGTGGACACTTGGTGCCAAAAGGGTCACTGTCCCTTAGTTTCTTCATGTGTTCAGTGGCCGTATAATACTTATTGTTATGGGGTTAGCCCTACATGTGTAAAAGCGTGTTCTGGCACGCAGTAAATCTCCAGTGCAAGCCATTCTGCTGTTTCTGTTTGCCCTGGGCTTCATCCTACCACACACACCACCTCCTCTGCTTCTCACACTGATCCTTCCTTGCACCTCCTTATGAAATGTCTCCTCATTCCCACCATTCTGATTGGATTTGTTATGCCTCTGATGTCATCTTGTCATATTTTATATTCACTTCCAGACTATAGTCCATTAAGAATTTGCAGTTATTTAAGTTGATATATCCTGGATAGCATCTCACCTGAAACAAACACAACTTGATTTGCATTAAATCCATTTAACAAGGGAGAGATCAGTGAGGACTGGCATCTTTAGCACAGATTTCATTGAGGAATTGAATTATATATAGAAAGTGTATGGGGGCAAAATAATTGAAAAAAATGTAGTCAAAAGAGCTTATATTATGTTTTATGATACAATCTTGCAGTTTTCCATGAGAATTTGTATCCACTTATACTGGTTTGCTATTGCTATAAAAAAAAATGATCCTAGAACTTAGCAAGTTAAAACAAGCACTTCACCATAGTTTCTGAGTTAAGAATCCAGGAACAGGCTAGCTGAGCGGCTCTGAATTAGGGTGTTAGAGTGGTTGCATTCACATTGTTGGATGGGGCTAGAGTTGTGGAAGGCTCAGCTGGGATTGGAGGTTCCTCTTCCATGCGCCCTCATGTGGCCGCTGGGAGAAGGCTTCACTTCCCAGCACATGACCTTCTCCCTTGAAATGCTCAAGCATGGCTTCCCCTGAGCAAGCGTTGAGAAGGAGGGAGAGGGTGGGACCAAAATACACACTACAATGGCACCGTAGTTACACCTGCTTTATTTTATTGACTGTATAATTCAACCTGGTAAAAAAGTGGAAGGGAAACTAGATGAGGGTATGCATAGCTGGAGGTTGGGAGTCCTTGGAGTCCTTCTTGGGAACTGGCTATCACAGTGTTCAATCCCTGAGTAATATTTGACCCAAAGAAATGGCGTTTACCTATGTGAATTAAGCAGTTGTTATCTCATCAGTATCAAAGTCTTTAAACTTCCAAAATGAGATTTTTTAAATCTCTGTGAAATTTCACTGTGAATGAATTCATTTCCCTTAACATGAGGTTATAGAAACCTTTTTTAAAGATTCATTTTACTCAGTTATTTATGCATACAAGAGCTGGGATGTGGCCCAGAGGGCAGGAGATGAGAGGATTCACCAGAGAAAGAGTGGGGAGCAGGACAGGTGGACTGCTGAGAGGAGCAGCAGGCAAGACAGGATAGGGCTGCCGCACCATATGGATGGCTCCCTGGCGGGCATCAAACTCCTGCTTCATTGGCTACCAATAGGTCCATAGTGCCGAGACTTAACCCCTTGTGCCACCAGGGAGACCCAGGCTAAAGAAACCTTAATAAAATTATGCCTATACTTTCTATTACAGAATAATCTGTGTTAGTTTGTTGTCTTTCAATATCAATTGAAATCTAAGCTTTTTTTCCTTTGACTCATTCAGATTATTCTGAAGATAAAATGGCCAGAGAAAAAGAAACAGATAATTCTTCAGCAGGAGATACAGAGAGTCTTGGAGAAACTACTGATGTCTTAAATATGGTAATGGTTTCATTGAGATATAGTTATACACAATAAATGTCATCTCAACCTGTAACCTGTATTGTATACCATTAGTATACAATTGAGAGTTGCTGTACTGCTCTCTGAACTGTGTCATATTAATTTTATTTATATATGTTTAGAATGAATAAATATAGAATCATACATTTTTTATTCTTTTGTTGACATGCATATTTTAATTTCAGACACACATGATGAGCCCAAATGCCAATGACAAGCCATTAAAATTGTCACCAGTTCAAAAACAAAAGGTATAATATGAAGAGTTATTATCATTATGGTGGGTAAGAACAGTTTAAATTACTTTATTCCCTGCAGGGCTTCTGGAAAGCACATTTGAAATGTAAGCATTCACTTTCTTTAGAGTTAACAGCACACAGCGTAAATAGCCTCGGCACTTGTTCTGTTGGTGTGTGTTTTCTGTGGTGCAAAAGTGTCAGTGCAGACATTCACACTCTGAAGTCACTAGGAAGCCATACTCTCCTTAATGTCAAGGCACAAGATTATTATTGCAATTCTTAGGTATTAGAAGAAGCTGCTGTTATCAGAATGGTTTTGGACTTTGCTTAAGTGTGACTTTGGGGCGTTACTGTGCTGACCTTATTGCATGATAATATCTTTTCCAACTTTCAAATTTGGTGGTTTAATGAGAATATTCGACAGTTCCTTTTCTAGTGTTTGGAATGAGCTTTAGTATATCAAAAAATTGATAGCATAAAACCAAGATTAAACATTTGGAAATTAGTCAGGAACCACGCATGGGTGATAAAGCAGACACCTTTAATGAATAGCAAATGAACAGCAAGAAGTAGTAGTCTGTGGTTTTCACAACACTGGAGAGATAAAGGCCTGACCTAAAATCCTTTGCTTTTTCTAGCTTTAAGGACTAGTGGGGTGAAAGGATGAGGGGTTTGGAGATTAGAAAAATAAATTGGATGAATATAAATTGAGGGAAGAAGGATATAGAAAACATTTAACTTAATTTCTTGTGCCTTTGCCAGATTGCTAAGCCAGAACTCCTTAAAATCAAAGTCACTGAAATGAAAGGGAATCTTGCTAAGTTATAAAAATTTAGTGCCAATCCTCATTAGTCTTATCTGTATTTTACTGTGAGGCATGGTGAAAACCAGCATTCCTTTTGAATATGGAAAAGCTGTTCTCTACACAGTTGCGGAAGCTAAGTGAATGTTGACTGACTGCCTACCCAGCCACACTGTTAAGCAGCTGTCTTCTGCGTCTTTCCTTAGCTCCCAGGCTCGGCCCCTTCTGTGCAGCTTAACCGCACGATTGAAAGAAGGGCATGTGATTTTAGAATTCATTTCTGACAGTGACCTCTGTCGCTCTTAAAGCCCTGGAAAGAATTGTGACTTTATAAAGAATAGCACCTAGAACTAACAGAAAGGAAAATTTGCTTCCTCTAAAACTGATAGTATGGGGTGGCCAGTTAGTTCATTTATCAGTTAGTTAGAGTGTGGTACTCATAAACCTGATATATATGTACACTGTACATTGTCCTTTTTAAGTAGAGGCCTGGCCAGGCCTGTGCTAGACAATAAAAAATATTATATTTCTATATATTAATTTTGACCTGTATGTCTTAAATCATTTCTGTAGCAAAAAGTGACCTCTTCTTAGGCCAAATATCCATCACAATTTATAAGAGTTGCTTTAGCGAGGTTTTATATGTAGAGACCCAATTTATCAAACATTTCGGCTTGTAAATTTTAGGTAACAATTTGATCTAAATGGTCTTAATATTTCTTTTAATTATCAGTGTTACATGCCATAGTTTTTCTTAAAACTCCTTTTTACCTTTAGTAGTTTTTCTGCATAGGAAGTGGCTTTTATAAAAATTATTACAATATTAAAGCATATAATAAAAGGGTCATAAATGTGAAGATTTTGTTTTAAAAGGAAAAAGTATACACTTTATTTAGTATGTAGATTTTAAAAAGCTCATTTCCAGTTTTTATTTTAGTTTCTGTTCGCCTACAGATAAACTATTTTCCCATTTTTACAAATTTCACATCTTCATTCCTTTAATTTTGGAATTTTCATAGAATCAAAATATCAGAATTTGACAAGTACTAAGACCTAAAACTGAACGGCACTGTATCCAAGAGATGCATACATTTTTAACGGTATTTTGCAAAGTCTGGCTGGAAATGTAGTGTACTTAAAGATTGATTCAGGTTAAGAAAAGGAATAGAGAATAAATAGTGATGGTATGTTAGTAATAGCAAAGTTAAGGCAGGTGCTAAGAATTTGAAAATTTAACATGTTACTAACTCAGAATTAGTCAGACCATAGACTTAGTAAAATATCTGGTAGAACTGGGTATGTTTATACTCCTAGTGAAACTATAAGTATTTAGTAGATAAGTTACTTTGCCAACTAAAAGTAGCATGACAATTACTTCAAAAAATTTACAGAAACAAGAAACAGTTGAGCAACTGAAGCAGTGTACAGTTCATGCTGAAAGTGATGCTAGTAATGAATACGAAGAGCTGTCCCCAAAACTGAAAGAAGGGAAAGCACATAACCAGCTTTTGGCAACAGGAATGTACATGGCGCAAGAAGCTGTGACTCTGGAAGCATTTTCAGATGAGTATGTAGATAATGTGACAGGCCAGCCTGCGCCTCAGGCCGAAATCTTCCCAGAGGGTTTCCAAAGAGCATTATTTAGATGCCCAAGTAGGTATGACCTCTATTCAGTTAGTAGTAGGGAAGTAGTAAGGGGAAGCAGTGGAAGATTCAGTAAGACGTACTCAGAAGAAGTAGACTATGAGAAGGAAACGGGGCCGGAGCAGACAACAGGTATGAAGGATGTGAGACAGAGTGAAAAGAGCTTTAAAAATATCAATGCATTCTTTGACAAATCGCCAAGTAGAAATGTGAATTTCGAAGATGAAGAAAACAAAGGTTTCCATAAGGAATGTAGAGTGAGAAGGGAAGAGCTGTTCCTTGGTAGTGAGAGAGGATTGCTAGGTGACCCAGACAGTTACTGGGAAGGTGAACTTCACCGGGCTACAACTGAGTGCTTCGAGCTACCTGAGTCGGTAGAATTTAGTAGTGGAGAGAAAGAGGATGATGATGTGGAAATTGACCCAATCTTGTGGTATAGCAGACATTTTATTGAACATGGATCTGAGGAAGAGCCTGAGCACAGAATATACAAATTCCTGGCAAAATACGATTTTAAGTGTGACCGCTTGTCAGAGATTCCAGAGGAGCAGGAAGGAATGGAGGATTCAGAATCAAGTGAAATAGAGGAGCGTGAGATAGAGGAAACTATGAAGGAACCTGAAGGAAAAGAGGAGGAAGTAGAGATCCTGTCAGATGACCTTACAAACAGAACAGAGGTGAGTGAAAGCGAGGGAGAGGTAGTACGGGAGGCTGAGGATGTGCCTGAAAGTGGGGGTGGGGGGGTCTGGAAAAAGGGCAATTCAGGAGTGGAACAGAGGCCAAGTGAGGAGGGAAAGAAGGTGAAAGGCAAGTGGGGAGCAGAAATGGAGAGCCTGAGTAATGGAGAGAAAGATCTAGAAGAGGAGGAAGAACTGGAGCAAAAGGAAAAGGCACAAGACCATCTGGAAGAAAGAAAAGGGGAGGAGCAAGGAGAGAGAAGTGGGCAGGAAGAGGAAGAGATAGGTGAGGAGAAAGAAGAAGAAAAGGAGGAAGGGGAGGAGGGAGAAGAGGGGAAAAGGAAAGAAAAAGGACTTATGGAAGGACAGAGGGGAGAGAAGAGAAAGGAGGAAGAGGCAGGTGGATGGAAAGAGGAAGAAGCAGAGGCAGAAATGGAGGGGGGAGGGGAGGAAAGAGAGAAAGAAGAGGAGGAGGGGGAAGAGGCAGGGGAGGAAGGAGAGGGAAAAGGGGACCAGGGGGTGGAGGGGGAAGAAGAAGGGGGTCTGGGGGAGGAGAAGGGAGAAGGAGGCCAGGGGGAGGAAGGCGAAGAAGGGGACCAATGGGAGGAGGGTGGAGAAGAAGGGGATCTGAGGGAGGAGGGGGGAGAAGGGGACCAGGGGGAAGAGGGGGAAGAAGGGGATCTGGGGGAAGAGAGTATAGAAGAAGGGGGTCTGGGGGAGGAGGGGGAAGAAGGGGATCAGGGGGAGGAGGGGGAAGAAGGGGATCAGGGGGAGGAGGGGGAAGAAGGGGACCAGTGGGAGGAGGGTAGAGAAGAAGAGGATCTGGGGGAGGAGGGGGAAGAAGGGAACCTGGGGGAGGAGGGAGGAGAAGAAGGGGATCAGGGGGAGGAGGGGGAAGAAGGGGATCTGGGGGAGGAGTGGGAAGAAGGGGACCTGGGGGAGGAGGGGGGAGAAGAAGGGAATCTGGGAGAGGAGGGGGAAGAAGGGGACCAGGGGGAGGAGAGGGAAGAGCAAGACCAGGGAGAAGAGGGTGGAGAAGAAGGGGATCTGGGAGAGGAGAGGGGAGAATGGGGCCAGGAGGAGGAGGAAGAAGGGGGATGGGAGGAGCAAGAGAGGGAAGGGGAAGAAGGGGAGAAGGGAGGAGAGGAAGGGGAGTGGAAAGTGGAGAAAGGAAGAGCAGAGGAGGAAGGAGAGGGGGAAAGTGAGTGGGAGGGAGGGGAGAGGGAAGGTAAGGTCCGGGAAAGCAAGGCCTGGGGTGTTGGGGGGTGGGAAGGGGAAGAAAGTGGGAGGAGAGAAGAGGAGGAGGAGGAAGGGAAGGGCAGTGAGAAAGAGGAGAGGCGATGCCTGGAGAGAGGTAATAGGGAGAGTAGGAAGCAGGGAAGACAGGATATGGGAAGAGAGTCCAAGAAAACAAGCACAGTCAGGGCATCTCTGAAGTGTGACAAAGATAAGGCGTATCACAGTGAGTTTATTACTGGTGCAGAGGGAAAGCGGGTAAAGCATGAAGTACAGAGCTTTAATATGACAATGCAGTCCGAACAATTTGCAGAAAATGAGCCACCAGGCTCCAAAACATTCTGGAATCATGTATTACCACACTATTTGGAATTGAAATAATAAAGTTCAAATTTGATCTGATTATTTCAACCAAATAGCTGTTGCTCAAACAGCTTGATCACCTTACAATCATTTTATAAAGCTGATTTTATGTCATGATTATGTGTGGTACAGTAATGACCAATAAAGATAGCCTGAGGCATTGGCAAATGTGTGGGTCCTCTTACGATATTTTGTGCTGTATTTCCCCTAATTATAAGCCTACAGTTGGAAACTATCAAAAGGTCATAGCAGATAGTTTAAATCTTATGTTCCTCATTAAAAACAGGTTTGGCATATAGGATAGAAATCACTATAAGAGTACTGTGTGTTTACCAATTCAATCCCTTTTAAAATGTCACAGAGCCTTGAGTGCTGTAAAAGCATCTACTTCCAGGCATCAGTTGTTAGGATGTGTTTACAGTTTACCATCCATTAGAATGTTTTTTCTAAGAATTGATGGTATTCAAACAAAGGACTCACATTTGAACAGGTGCATTGGATGATAACTACAGCCTTTCCCTGAGGTTCTTTCATGCTGACAGGACACAGTGACATGAGCTATTTAACCACATTTGTTATTCACCTAAGAATTGTTTTAAAGAAGAAAAATTACACTTTAACATTAATCTACTTTTCTAGAAAGCATTGTTCTTTTAAAGCTAGTTCTCATATATCTCATCTATGATTCTGTATTTCTAAAGTCCTATGATTCCTGAGCTTCAACTGTACTCTCAGCATCTCATTCTGTATCTGTTTTTCAGAGACGTTCTGTAATTCTTTTCGATGGTTGCTTATCAGGATATTTCAAGTAAAATAAAAGCTAACTATATATTTCAGCACTTGTTTGTGAATAGAGAAATTAATACTAGATATTGAATTTTACAGAGGTCAGATTTCCACTGATTTCAATCTTCCATAAAATTTTCAGTGTATACAGTACAACTTCATCTGAGTGTTTATTCTTACGCTCCCTTTTCAGCTGATTTCCTTCTGCGATCCTTTCATATCTTGGACATGAGGGATTTCTTGCAATTTCTCTTATCGAGGAAATTCTTAAACTAAAAGTTACTAATGTTAGGGTGTGATAGTCATCTTTCTCTGAGGACATAATGAGCCAGCAATAGCAGAGTGATGTTCTTAAGATATACCCATTTTGGTATTGGGGGTGGTCTAGATAACCATTTTTAAATAGCATTTCATAGCCATTTTCTCACATTTCCTTGGCCAAAAATTCTGTATGTTTGTTTAAGAAGTGCTGTTTCACGCAGGTCTAGCTTTCTGGTCAGGAGAACACCACCTAGTTTTGAGACCTGAGTTAATACTTGGTTACACAGGTTGGAATAACTGATTCTTCCTTTCCTGCCCTCATCTACTGGCTGGTCAGGCTTTCCTTGTAGTTTATCAGTGACCATTTATGAGGCAGGTATGAGTTATGCACGTAGAATTCATTGAGTTACAGTTTCAAGTGAGGACTCTGGCAGAAACACACTCAGGTAAGCCACACAGGTATGCACGCAAGGTGTTTTCTATTGTTTTCTATTGTTTCACTATAAAGATACGTTCTGCACCGCACCTGTATTAAAAACAAAATGCTACTGTATAGAAAGGTGCTGCAGTTCCTTTCCCTCCTTCTTTCCATTATCGAAATTAAATGTGATATTACATGCCAAGTGCCTGCCACATAATTTTGTATTTGGTCCATGTTATTCATTCAACAAATATTTATATACCAAGCACCAAACAAAAATACAGAAAATTCCCTACATCAATTGTGTCTCAAGAAATGAGGGCTGCTCACAGTCAACCCCCTGTTGCCCTCTTAACTGCTAGGGACATTCAGTGAGTATAGGTTTCTTGAAAGAACACCAGGTAAATGGATTTTGTGTGTCTCTAACAATGTTCTTTGGTTTCTCAGCATCCCCTTGTTCTTAGCAAGACTGCCTAACGGTCTAAAAAAAAAATCTGAGTACAAATCTTTGGCTTTCCTGCATTAAAATCTTATTTAATAAGAAGAAACTGTTTTTGTGCGTGGGTTTGCAGACAGTAAGACGTGGCTTCTGATTCAAGCAACTCTTAGTTATTTCTGTAGACTGGCCTGAAAATTGACTGGTACAATAGAGTACTTCAGGAGAAGCAGATCAGCTGCCTCAGATAGTAAGAGAGTGCTTCCAGAGAGCCATGGTGAAATGTAAACTGAGTCATGAACATGTGACCTGAGTCAGGTGAAGGAGGAAGAGGGGGCTGGGCGTCGGAAGGGCACCATGGCAGTGGCAGTGTGACTTGGGCCCTTTGGCCGGAGAGAGAGAAAGTGTGTATGTGTTTGTAAAGGAGATTAAGCCTCACATATGCGGGCTTTTGTAACTTCATTTTGGCAACAAGTTGGAGGATGGATTGAAAGGAAATAGTAACAGAGCTTGGGCTACCAGTTAGGAGGCAGTTATAACAGACCTGGCAGACTGTCAAGGCCAGAATACTGGTGACAGAGTTAGGCATGCAGATTATTGAGAGATTTTCAGGGATAGAACTGGAGGGCTTAGTAAAGAGAGAAAACACTCCTCTTGATTCTGGCCTGGAGAACTGGGTAGAAAGAGTGCTTGTCCTCAAGACTGAGAACAGAGAAGTAGAAGCCAAGCTAGGGAGACAGAGGCTTACTGATGTGGATGTTCAGCAAGCAGACACACGCTTGGGTTTGGAGCTCAGAGGAAACTGCTAAGTGCCACCAGCTTACTTATGTAGTTGAAAATGTAGAGTTGAATGAGAGACAGCATTCCTCGTATGAACAGAAGAGAACTGAACTGAAGACAGGATTTAGGGAAACATCCGTTTGATAAGGGAGAGGTTGGAAGCCGTTATTGGGAATGGAGGTGTTGCCCAAGCTGTGAAGGAGCAATGAGAGGGTCAGGGAGAGGATGACCAGAGAGCTGGGGCACATGAGCAGCCCACATGAGCAGCAAAGGGTGAGCTCCAGGAAGTCTGCTTTGCCAAGAAATAGAATCAGAGCTTGACTTTGAAAATTGTCAGAGCACTAACTGACATGTTACTCAATTTGGGAAGGGACATTTACTCTCAGAAAAAAGTCCTAAATTTGTATTTGCTATTATGCTATATGATGGTACATCAGAATAAAATCTCATTCTAAAACCTTGAAATTGAGATTTGAAAATAAAGGCTTTCCTACCTGATAATGACCTAGATATAATTTTATGCTCTATTAACCTTTTTGGACAACATTTTCTATCCAGTATGCCTTTGTCAGGATTTATGGCATGTCTCAATGGCAGCACAAATTTCATGCTTTATAGTTTTTCCTTTTAACTTAAATGAAATCTCTTAAAGTCCGGTACATGCAAAAAAGAGTACATACATGTCTCACACAGGCCTAGCTCGATGTTTCCACACACTGAACACACACATAGTATCAGCATCTACATCAAAAACAAAACAGACAAACAAACAAAAACCAGGTTCAGCTCTACAGAAGCTCCCCTTCAACCCACTTCTAAACATCGCCGGTCCTCCCCGCCCCCCAACCTGGGCGATCACTAGGACTTTATGTGGCCTTTAGATAGCAGCCTTGAGTTTTTCGCTCATGCACTGTAATTGTATTCATAAGCAACCCAGAACCTCGTGAGGGGAGCCTTTGGTTTCTTGATAATTCCCATGAGAAAAGTGAACAAGCAGGTGAAAGGCCGCAGCTTACGTGTGCTGTGTCGGGCCAGTGAAAGAGGGTCCTTTTGTGTGAGCCAGGCCCATTCACTTTCCCGTGGTCCTAACACAGGACACGTTTCCTCTCTCCATACTCTGCTTCCCATCTTGCATGTTTGTTTTGTTTTGTTTTGTTTTTTTACAAGAATGTATTTAAACTTTCCCCTTTCTTTTTATAAAATGACAGTAATTCTGCCACTCTCTCCTAAATTGTTTCGGTTTGAAGGTAAGTGCCACATGTGATTTAAAGTAGTTGTTCACATGTATAGATTCATGTTAAATGTGCTTAATAAGTGTAACTGTGAAAACAGATGATGTGATTTCTAGTGAAAAGGTCATTTTCTGAGTCTTCTCAAATTAGAAAATGACACAGTTGCAACAGTTCTTCGTGGGTAGAGATTTTCTTAAAGTCAGTGGGGAGGTGGTTCCCTATGAAAGAGATGTCTTCTGTTGATTTCTAAAATGAGGTGAAACTCCATGTTCCCTTTTTATAATAGCACAAGATCCTGTGGCTACATGAATACCTTAGTTAGCTAAGCCAGTTGAAGCTGACCCTCGGGCTAGGGTGGTAGCTCCCTCCAAGTCAAAGGACTGAGCTTGAGGACAGCTCACCAGCCCTGCCTCTGGGAGACAGATGGGCCCAGTGTGAGGTAGTCTCGAGAGCACCACTCTTTCCAGTGGGCCTTTCATTCGTGTGTTCTTAGCAGCCACAAATCTTAAACCCAGCAATATTGCTTCCTGTTCCTTTCCAAAGTGATGTTGGCGATAATTTTAGCTGCCCCATGTGCATCTGGCATGATACCCAGTGTTAGTTCCTTAGAGGGGATAATTTTAGCTGCCCCATGTGCATCTGGCATGATACCCAGTGTTAGTTCCTTAGCAGGGGGACGCTTTAGCTGTCTTTGTAAGTGTAGTTGCCTGCAGTTAACTGTTTCCAGCCTCGCGAGCTGCACATCCTTTGATACAGCTGCCTTGCTCCCCTCTCCTGCATCTCCTGCGTGACCTGTGGTTAGCCACGTGCTCCCAGAGTAACTTCTGAAACTCTTTTTAAATCTCAAGGCTACACTTCTGGATTGTCTGTGCTCAGTGGGAATGCTATTAGGCCACACCCTCGTGGCCTGAGGATACCACTTAATACCTCTGACTAAGGTGTGAAATATAAATATATCCTCTATCTGCGTCAACTCTCATTTTGTATTTTGCCAGAGAAAAAATGTGAGTTAATAGAGGCAATATTTTCAAAGCACCCACTTAAGGAGTCTGCTGTTGAGTTGAATGGAATGTGAAGGGTGTATCATCTGAGGCAAATATGG